TCAACGAGATAGTTTCGGCATTTCTCAAACGGCTGATCACTATCCTGCAGCAGTACGAGTATAACATAACTATAACTTCACTTGTTGCTATTTGGTTAACGCTACTTTTACAATGTGGTTTCGCTGGTACGGTACTTTTACAATGTTTTACCATCTTTGTCTTTTTAAAGTTAGATTAAACAGTGAAATAATAATAGCAGCCATCATTTTGCAGCAAACGGTAATGACACTGCATTTTACCAGGTTTAACTGTGCAAAAATCATGTATCTGATGAGGAACAGACGGAGCGAGAGCTACCGTCTGTGTCAGTAGCATGCAAACAGTAAAACCACATTTCGTGAACGCAGCATAGTATTAAGAGCTGTAGTATTATTCTTTAGTAGACTAGTCTGCAACGACGTATGCTATCAGTAATTTTATAATAAAAGATACGTGAACATGTCGAATGTTACGAAAGGAAACTGCAAGTTGAAATAAAAAACGAACAAACTCCTAATTAGGTTAAAAAACGAACGAGCAACAATGGCATTACTCATTGACGACTAACGTGACCATCAAAACTAACGAGTGCATATGCTGTTATAAAACCGTTGTCGTTCTTCGTGTATACGGGAGACTGTTAAGGTCACATCGAGTGCCTAGGCGTTCATTCCGATTCTTTGCCGGATCGTGTCGTGCATATATTTTTAGCGAAGTTCTTAATGAGTTTTCTTTTCCACAAGTTCGAAGTATAAGCATTAGATAGTTTGCTGCGATTTCGCAAGAAGCATCAAAGATGGTACAATGGACTGTAATACTGTGTACACGCTGGCCGATATAACGGCTAAAGTCACTCAGGCATCTCGTCCAGCCCGACGTCTACTGTACTTAGTTTTGCAGTATACTCGGTCCGTAACAACTGCGTAGTGGAGCGGCTACTTGGAAACCGTTTTGGAAACACGTTGAAGCTTTTCTGGACTGTACACAACGCACAGGTCAGAAAGCCGATACTAACATCAGTTTTTGGCGCTTACCTTCTGTAGATCGAACGTCATATATGTCGGATCTTTGCCTCTGCACAGGAGATCACCGTAAGCTGTTGCATATACTCCGCAGTCTTTTCCGTTTCGTTGTCGCTGCACCATGATGAACGATCGAAGCAATCGCCTGTTTCATAAACGTCGTAACAGACATCCTGAGACTGTCGAAGATATTAACACAATTTTCGGGTCCACTGTGGACGTTAGTAAGCGTGATCCAATGGTTGCCGCCATGATTAAGAACTTGAATCTTCTTCGAATCGGACTTATCGGGATCAAACCAATGCAAAATAGCGTTTTCTCTCCACACCTTGATAATTTCTCGCGCTCTCTCCATTTGAGCTGCGGTCATTTGCGGGCTGGATTCAAGCTCGAACGTGTTGAAATAACAAACGTCAATAAATCCGCCGATATGTGGATTTTCATGCTTCATAATCCTGAGTGCGGCGGTGATAGTTGTTTCGCCGAGCCACCCACCTCCAGCTTTTTCTAGGATTTCTGCCCAGTGCCACAAGCCTAAATCAACTTCTTGGCAAGTTATCCAATTGCAGTTCCTGGTCAGAGAGGAATCTGTCAAAAAAACTCAAACAATTGAATATCTGACAACGGATGCGCAAGCAACAATTGCAGGGGTGCTACGACAAAGTTGGGACACTTTTGTCAAACAACTGCCAAATATTTCTATACGTGTTACGTTTTTGTATTTGAACTTCTCCCATGCAACTTTTTAGAGCAAATCCAGAAAAACTAAAACCGGCGCCATTTGAGCAGTCAATAGCGGTCCGAGCGTTGATTTAGGGGAAGAGGTAGTAGTCCTTTGGGGACTGCTTATATCTGTCCTAACAAATTCGTCAATCAAAATTCTTGCGTGAACTTTTCTGTTAGCTGTTGAGTGGCTCAAAAAGTATTTGTTATGGGCCAGAACAAAAATCTTTCTCGTTCAGTGGTTGACTTAGCGCGGCAGCAAGGGGTATGACCCATAGATTTGTACATTGAAAATGGCCTACAGAGAATTGTGGTTGCCTAGCGCATAAATTGAGATAATGTAGAATTAGTACATTTCATAGATAAATTCGATGTCCTGGTAGTTGATTTTTGTGTGCCAAGAAATACCTGCCTCATAGGCGGAGAGGTGGAAGCGCAAGAAGAGCGGAAGAAAAGAACAGCAAAACGGTAGGCTGTGCGGTAAGCTCGCAAATAATGTCACCTTCACTTTGATAGTGCTCGCGGAAGCACTGCAGGTCATAAAGGCTTACTGAAATCCTGTGGCACCCCCTACAGGAGAACTGGATGATAAACAAATGTGGTTTTTTACCTTTGGACAACGGCCTCAACAGAATTTTTAAAAAAATAATGGGCATAGGGAAAGCTGGAAATCCATACGGGTTTAGCGGTTTCTTTAGCTGATTTACTTTAGTTTTCCCCCTGGGACTTTAGGCGTGGCACTGAATGACCGAAGCGAAGGCAGAAATTTATTTGCTGTACAGTACCGACTTTGATGTCAGCATTGTAGTTCATACGCCAGCCGAAGCGTAGCGCCGACAGCCCTCTACATACACCGCTAACGGAAAATGTAAAAGTGCGGTAGTCACAACCATCCGCAGCCAAATATATGTACTTTACTTTACTAACAAAGTATGTACTTAACTTTATGAAGACTTTACTAAGAAACTGCACTTGTTATTGGCAGGAACTGCATTACCGAAGCAGTCATTCCGCTAGAGGGTTGTGTGCACTAGAAAGTGACGACAATGCCCTTAGAGAGTTCTGTGCACTGGACACTGGTGGTAGTTCGATTCATCTAGCGGGATCTGAATACCGGACAGCAGTGACTAATCGCCTCATTTCTTCACGGCTTTGTAATCTGAGCAGTAATGGTATTTTCGTATCTGAGCAGTAATCAATCAATCAATCAATCAATCACTTTAAGTTTTTGAAATAGTCCATCGAAAAATTATCTTTCGAAAAATTATGAGTTGAAAAATTATTCTGATGGCTGGATTCGTACGAATCAAGTATGCAAAACTTTTTTTATCTCTCTTACCGCGAATCTCGACACCAAAAGAGGCTGCCTGCTGATACCAAAGCTGTATGACTGTCCATTCCATCATACCATGAGCTGTGCCCCTCAGGTTATTCAGCGTTCGGAAAAACATTCTCCAACCACGATAATCTCCAGGATAAATGATGTCCTTGCGCAGATCTTTGATCTTTAGCATTCCCCTGCTCTGCCTGTTTGATGGATGGTCTTTCGCTATAGCTGTCACCCGCTCGATCGCGTTCGTGGAAAAATACTTGGCCAGTTCCTTAATGGCTTCCATACGTTGGATTCTTTTTGTTCGTTCGTGAAATCGACGTCCTGAACCTCGTCTGAATTACTTTGACCAACAGACATGCGTTCTTCAAGATCTGATTTCGGTAAACTGTCACAAATATCGGAGGTGAAAGGCAGTGGTGAATCTTCGCTAATCTGTAACCAAATATATCAATATTTTTCTTATCAATAGGCGCCGCCAGTGTCAGATTTGATCTCAACAGCTTTTTAATACCAAAACAGCAGTTTCGTCGCGCGTCTTTTTCGTCTTTTTCCCAGGAGTGTTGAACTTCACTTTTCTTTTTCCTCCTTTTGGTCTTCCCGGAGGGTTCCCTGCTATACCCGCGAGTTTGAAAGGAATCAATTTAAACGGATCCAAAGTTCCTTCGATGGCCACTGTTCTTACATCGTTGGTGCCGTTGTTCGGTAGCTTCTCTACAATGTACACACTGTATGCATGGGACGCTAAATGCAACAGGTGTGATTTTAAATTATGAACGCTTTTGACAGTCTGTTTTATAACAGCCTAGGTTGGAGCGCACTGCATCAAAGGTCAAGAAGTTCTACAGCGAGTTGAAACGTGTACAGTAGGCCTTTCATATGGGAGCCAGTTGGCGTCGGCCGATGTCAACCGCACCCTCATTTAAAGGCATGAGCGTAGAGAATCCCACCACGAATCTGGCGCAGTTGAGATAAACTTTTAACACTCTACGCTTTGAGGCGCATCGTTAGGTCAACCGCGCTAGTATACACTGCAATTTACTGTAATAAAAAAACACTGGGAGCGCGTTTCTAATTGAATGATCTCTGTATCGGTTGCACGTGTATGCATTAACTGGTTGCTCAACGAATAGCCGTGCCGGCAAACAGCAGTTGCATTCCACATCCTACCTAATTGCAACATATCAAATATGTTCGGGTAGTTAAGTCACCGCAACTTCTGGTAGTGCTACTCGGTCATACTTCTGCCACAACAGTACAATGTACCAACTTATCAGAGAACGTTATTTGTGTATTATTTTTTATATTATTTATATTTATAGTTATTACATCCATCACCTTCCATCCACCTTACAAATAGTACGTATGTGCTTCTTGCGTGCTGTCTTCGATCGGGACTTCATTCTGAGTCCTATCTAACATTACCTTTGCCGAAGCTGTACTCAGCCTCCCCGCTTGCTTCCACAGCGGCTAGTGCCGCAAATTGGGGCGCTGTCTGAATCGGATTTTCTGTAACCGTATCAGCGGTAAAATTCACAATTACATTTGCCTTTCGGCCGGTAGTTTCCATGTCGGGTAAAGCCGTCGACGAAATATTGGTGAGAGTCTGCTGGCTTGGTGAGGTAGCCACCGTTATCGGGATGTTCTCACCCGGAACACCATCTTTAACAGCTTTCTCCAGGGTGTGCAACAAGTGCAGATATTCTTCGAAACGCTTCCCCGCATAAACCGCGATACCGGAACTGATTTCTTTTGCGATACATAGCGCCCTGTTAAATCGAGCCTCGCGCGACAGCGAGCGGTTGGCCTCACGCTTCGCCGCCTGGCCGCAAAGATAGTTTGTGCTCGTGTATCGGACCAGTCAGCCGCCATTTTATCCCCGTTTCAGCTCGGAGTGAACGTTCGCGGCGGTGCCGAAGCGATCGTGCATGCTACCCGAAAGTTTATGGAGTCAGCCACTAATAATACTCTAGTTGTCCTTAAAGTTGACTTTAAAAATGCGTTCAACACGATATCCCGGGAAGCCGTGTTAGCCGCCGTGGATAAGCACTTTCCCGAATACAGTAATTTTATACGCAATGCCTACGGACACCGCTCCTCTTTGTTTCTGGAAGACCTCTCGTTATCGTCGGAATCTGGAGTGCAACAAGGAGATCCGTTAGGCCCTCTCCTGTTCAGCCTCGTTCTCCATCCTGTCGTGACAGCCCTGCAAGCGGAACTAAACGCTTGGTTCCTAGATGACGGAACCCTGGGCGGTACTCCAGCGGCTGTAGCCGAAAGCTTTGACAAGGTAGTACAAGATGCACAAGCCATCGGTTTGAACGTCAACGAGGCAAAGTGTGAATTAATCGTCATCGGTGGATCAGAAGAGTCTCAGCGGACAGTGGCCGAATATTTTCTGGATCGATATCCCAGTCTGCGCATAGTATCAAAATCCAGTATGTCCCTCCTGGATGATGCAATAGCTCCCATGCTTTCTGAAAAAGCCACCACACTAACCACGGCTTATGAACGCTTGCAACTGTTACCAAATCATCAGTCATTGTTCCTCCTGAAGAATTGTCTAGGCGCCCCCAAAATAATCTACATGCTACGTTGCTGCAACGCCTGGAAGCACCCAAAACTGCTTTATCAGCTCGACGACGCGCTGCGTCTGTGTTTTCAGAACCTGTCCAATGTCCGCACGAACCAGAATGACTACCCGTGTTGGCGTCAAGCATCACTGCCCGTTAGTAGAGGTGGTATTGGCATCCGCCGGTCGGAGGAATTACCTCTCCCAGCTTTCTTGGCTTCGATTCACTCCGTTTCTGGTTTGGTTTTGGCGTTACTTCCTACAGGCGGAGCACTTGATAGCACGGAAGCCCAAGAATTATGGAAGTTAAAGGCGTCTCAGCTGGAAATCCCCGAACCTGCCTTCCGAAAGGCGCAAAAAGCATGGGATTTGCCTCTTTGTAATGTCTCCTTGGCCGCGCTGCTAAACGTTTTTCAGAACGACGATGTCAACAAAGCCCGCCTACTTGCCCAGTCTAAACCGGAAGCCGGCATCTGGTTGAATGCGCTGCCTTCTGGCCACATCGGAAATTTGCTCGACGATGACACCCTCAAGATCAGCACTGGACTTCGCTTGGGCGCGAAAATCTGCGAGCCACACCAATGCAGCAAATGTCATAGACCAGTGGACGGTTACGGTCATCACAGATTGTCCTGCCCTTTCTCCGCAGGTAGACATCCACGCCACGGTGGCTTAAACAGCATTGTCTCTCGCGGATTGGTATCAGCGGGTATACCTGCAAAATTAGAACCGAGGGGGACATCACACACATCAGCCCGTCGCCCAGATGATTACACGACGTTTGCCTGGAAGCGCGGCATGTGCCTCGCTTGGCACGCGACTTGTGTAGACACGGTGGCGGCGTGTCACGTAAAGGCCACCTCCACAAACGCAGGAGCAGCTGCAGCGCAAGCGGAAGAGAAGAAAGCGAGACTGTATTCTTACTTGGTTGGACTTTACATCGTCGCACCAATCGCGTTTGAAACAATAGGTCCATGGGGACCGTCGGCTATCGCGATTGTTAAAGAGCTTGGAAAAAGACTACAGCAGCATACTGGAGAATCCCGCTCCCACGAATTTCTGCGACAACGGTTATCTCTGGAAATTCAGAGAGGGAACGCGGCATCACTATATAATAATCGCGTAAGCCTTAACGAAATTCCCATTATGTCGAGTTCGTCAGCCCGATCCACTGAATCAAACTTCCATCTCTACGTATCATTCGATAGCCCTTAGTGGGTAGATTTGCCATCACAAGTCAGTTTTTAGAGGAAAACAAAGGTTTGAAGGGAAACTTCAAAAAACTCTAACATAGAAAGCCAACGGGAAAAGTTGAGAATTCACCACTGCAAAACCGACCACCCCACCACTGTCTCGACAGCTAAAAACGCGTTTTGGCCAACTTTGCTGATGGACTGGTGAGAGTTCTTGAGCATTCAGGACTACGTACTGTTCCATAGTCTTGAATGAAATTATTAATTTTTAATCAACACAATTAATGGCTTCAGTAGAAGTAAGATTTTGAAAGATCAAAGAAGACCTGATGAAATCTTCGCGTACAGAGCTGCTCAAAACGGTTCTTAAGAAGCTGTCGTTTGCAGGGGGCTGACCACTTTAAGTTAAGTTGTAACTGTTCCACGGGCGGTTACCATTGGTACTGATATGCCGTTGCCGGCAAAAATGAACCATATACGACTTGCGACTCACAAGTTGCGAGTTCTGTTTTCCGTTGAAAATGGTGTCCGAGAAAGCTGGTATTGCATGCTTGGGGTTGATTTATATTACAGCAAGCTGGCAGCTGCATATTCCACGTAAGCTTAGTTGATATGCATTACTGCTGCAGAGCTATAGCAGACAATAAGTTTTTTTTATTAATTCAGAGTGATTGCTTAGCGGTCGTTAGGTGGAATCCTTCATGGCTGAGAACGAGAGATTATACAAAACTAGAAATAATTTCGTCAGATTTTCACAGAAGGCGGAGCCGCAGGCGACGCCGAGCTGCGGCGCGAGCGGAGCTAGCGTAGCAGCAAGCGAGGCAATCTGCTTTACATTTCCGACTTAACAGGATGAAGGAAATCCATATTACAGTTTTTTTAATGGCTATTTAGTTTTTGTTAAAACGTGAACACGGAACGCGGAAGTGCACTCAAGCAAAAGTTTTAGTGTATGTATCCCATTTTTGAAAGATCTGTACCGGGGCGACTGAAGCGGACATCCCAGTGCTACTTGGATGCGATTATTTGCATTCGAAGTTCAACTTCGTCTTAACACCGATTCCTACCATATCGGTATACTGTCTGTCAAGACAATATTGACGAGGTAGTACGAGCTATAAAAGCTCATCACGACCTAATTTGGTCGGACGACAGACCGTCGTCACCGTCGCCTCCGCAACAGGAACGGAAGGTAGATCCTTCCGGAAGACTCAACCGACAGTCATCCGATGGCTGAGCAACATGGGTTTACAGCCAACCTACCTTGAGAATCAGGACGGAGCGAGTCGATCAGCCCAACCGACGAATAAGGTCGATCAACCTAAATCGACCACAAAGGTCGTTTTCGATAAAATACCAGAAGTCGAACCTGAAGACAAATCGACCGTGGAATTGGAAAATTACAGATCCGATGACTCGTACATACAGAGTACGAGTGATTCGGCGGACACGGACTCCGATAACCGACCTTCGGAAGAATCCGAGGAAGATGACGACGAAGAATTTGATCCGTCAGTCCGACACTGTAATACGGATAAACAAACATAAACGACTCGGACGATTCATCATCGGAGGAAGAAGAACCGACCTACGATGTTCGGCTTACTACAGCATTGCGGTCTACAGTTCACACAGAATTCATAGACGAGCAATCGGAACAAACCAAACAACCTAAACCGGTCGACTCCGAACAACAGGAGGAACTCGACCAACTTAAAGCTTTGTGGGAATTCGGAGGAGGTAAACCGGAAGAAGACGATCTCCGACCTCCAACCATAGTCGTCCAGCAGTTGTCAACGGAACAACCGACCTTGGTTAACTTGACCGACCAACAGAAGTTAGTGCAGTTCAACACATGGACGGCACGGGTCGCCAAAGTCAAGACGATGGAAGAGCTGAACCTGGACAACAAATGCCCAGAAGTTCACCACCTAAAGCTGAACCCTTTTGTGGAAACGAAAGCGCTAGACCGACAAGTCGTCTTTAATAGCGAACGAGTTTCGCTCCCACCATGGTCAACATGTTCGATCAAAGTACGGATGGCCAAACCAATGGACCCGAGAAGACGAATTTACTTCTCAACCCTACAACGGGTAATCCGACATATTCGGCCGATTGAAGCCAAGATCGACATCCGACCTCAAGTCGACAGGGCCTGGATAAATATTCAGAATACGACTCACCAAACGAAGGTGTCACTAAGAAGACCGTCATCGAATGTAACGCAAGCGGGGCCGGACTTAGCGCGGGCACAAGACGACCACCCAATCGCCTACGCCAGCAGAGTCCTACGCCGACCGGAACTCAACTACGGAGTCACCGAATGGGAATGTTTGGCCGTGGTATGGGCGGTGCAGAAATTCAAGCACTTCATCGACCACGGACTATTCACCGTACGAACGGATCACCGAGCATTGCAGAATCTGCTCCGATGCGAGTCAAACCGACCTGGCATCAACCCTCGACTAACGAGATGGGCACTGGCTTTACAAGGACGGGACATAACCATCGAGTATAAGCCAGGTGTATTCTGCGACAATGCAGATGCCCTGTCGAGATGGCCACTGGAACGCAGTGAAGACAAAGATCCACACGAAGAGTTGGATCAAGTCCCCAACTTCGAAGACTTTAGGGACGAGATTAAAGTTTGTACACTGCCCTACTCAAGGGGCTTCACTGTATTGTATACAGTGAAGATTGTATGAAATACTGTTTGTATTGTATGAAATACAATACAGCCCCTAGAGAACCGCGTTGGTTTGTACAATACGAACTCTTAGACGTCTGAAGACGAATGCCTCGAAGAAGAAGAAGAAGGATAAGGAAAACCCACCAAAAATTCCTCTTCCGCCGGTTCTCCCCGGATGTAACGTTATATCCGACTGGCACGACTTGAGTACCACAGAGGTCCGAGTCATAAATATACCAGCACCGGAGACACCGGAACCGGCCGTATGGACCGTTAACACAGCGGAAAACGACGCGTTGGAAGTTGAAGAAACACTCCCACCTCCACCCGAACCGAACCTGGAACTTCGGAAGGCGCAGTTGCGAGACCCGCAGCTACGCAAAATCATTGACAAACCGGAGAATCCAGAGAAACACGACCATAAGTTTCGCATCTGGAACACTACCAGATGGCGCAAGGGGTGCTGTACAGACCGAAGACAATTAACACAAAGTTGGAACGTTGCTTCGTTGTACCACTCTTTACGCGCAATCAAATTATCCGATCGCTCCACGACGGAAAAACCGGAAACCACTTCGGAAGGGAGAAGACGATCGAAGCACTGAAGCTGCGCTTTTACTGGGTAAGAATGAATAGCGACGCCATTTCTTACATCAAGAAATGCCGACAGTGCATCATGACAAATAAGCAACGATGTCCACCACCGGGTAAACTCCCAAAGACGGAAGTCGGTGAGGCCTGGTATCGCATCTACGCGGACTTTAAAGGTCTTCTTCCTCGGACGGAGACGAAGGGATATCAGTACATCGTAGTGGTAACTGACCAGCTGACGAAGTTCACCGTAACCCGGGCAACGAAGACGAACACCGCGAGAGAATTCGAACGGTTCTTCGTCAAAGATGTCCTATTGAAGTACGGAATGCCGACCTTCATCCACTTGGACAGAGGGACACATTTTACAGCGAAGACGTTCGCTAAGGTCGCACGGATCTTCGGCATCCAACAAACACTTGGAAATGCCCATCATCCGGAAGGAGAAGGACAAGTCGAACGGCAAATGCAAACGATTTTGGACGGGATAAGGAAGTTCTGCGTTGTAAAAGTCGGACACTGATGGCATAGAGCCTTGGATTATGTCGTCTGAGGAATGAACCGAGCCGTCCCAGCCGCGACTAAGTTTTTACCGTTCTACATGTTGTATGGTAGAGAAATGACCATGCCACAGGACGTAGTGGCCGAAACGAACACACCGAAAACCTTCACGGATAAGGAACACTACATCCGACGGATAAAAGAACGATTTCAGCGCTCGCACGAAATTGCCTGCATCAGCATTGATGAGGCATTTGAAAGAAACGCTGAGCACTACAACAAGAAGAAGTCGAATCCGATCTTCAAACCGAGGGACAAGGTAACGGTGGAATTCCCAAGGACCCAACTCGAAAGGAACGCTACGACGGAGTTTGGACGGTCATCAACTACGTTGGCTCAAACCCCTTACTCCTTCGATGTAAAGACGGACGTGAAGACACGGTAGCCGTCGAGAGAAGTCGACCAGCAACTCGGTCAACTGGCCCAGTAGCCGACCCCATAGAAGGGAAAGCTACTAGGAAGCCGAAGAAGAAACCAGAAGAAACCGTGGAAAAACCTTCGGATCCGACTAAAGACGCGGATAAAACCGAACCGACGGTGAAGAAGAAACGAGGTCGACCTCGGAAGAAACGTCCGACCGACTTCGGGACACCAGCACTGATGGAACTTCAGAAGCAAGATGTGATAGCTGCCGAACCAGCACCGACTTCGGAAGAAGTTGAGAACAAAGCTCAACCGACTACGGAGAAACCAAAGGAGTCGGCAAACAAGTCGGAAAAGTCGGTCTAGCCAGCCAACCAACCTACGGAGAAACCGGAGCCGGTGACAAAGCCAGCTCGGAAAAAGAGGACGGTTAAGAAAACCGACTCGCCGGCACCGACCACAGAGGTCGCTGTAGCCGACCCGGCAGTCCAACCGACTAAGCCCAAACGGAAGTACACAAAGCGGAAGGTCGACTTACCCAACACATTGGCGCCGACTACAGAAATCGTAGCAGCCGACCAGACAGTCGAACCGACTAAGCCGAAACGGAAGTATGGGACAGCTAAGAAAGCGAAACTGACGGCACAACAGATGCTGGAGGAAACTGAAGTCGCTGAAGACGAAGCCCATAAAGGAATCCTCGAACAAATTTCCGAAGGACGGGCAGACTTGGAGAAACAAGCCAAAACAGCAGTCACAACAGCACAGACTCAGTCATAGGGCCCTAGGTGTAAAGCTTAGAGTAAGTCTTAGGTAGCTTAACAATAGCTAGGTATAGATGGACCTTTGGAGTCTCTTCATTTGACCGAAACATGTACGGGAGTCGGTAGAATTCTAACGCGCAGTATTTCCTTTCCTTGACAGCAAGCAACAATTCCAGGTCGTCACCGACACGACCCACCTTCCAGCGGATCGAATAGCAGACGTAGCGGTGGCGGATCGAACCGATCGCACCCCTACCCGGCTCATTGCTTGACATCGCGATCGGATAATTCGCGGTCGGCCACACAGACGCCATTACCGCAGGTAGAAAACCCTAGTGCTAACGTAACAGCTAATGTGTTAGCAGGTCTTACGGTCGGGCCCCAACGTGGAACGATACCGCCACAGATTCTGCCACCGAACTCAGCAGTCGATAATACAGGCTGCCTGTGGAACCTTGGAACTGGAACGAGTCAAGCGACTCCGGTAACGGTAGCAGACCCACATGGTCAAATGCCACCTTATCGGTGATCGGTACCGACCACAATAGTCGGACCGATCAGCTTGGCATCAACAATGATGACCGGAGCGGTTTACCCGACACCCACAATGGTGCCAGGGATGGCGAACGCGCCTGTTTCGATTTACACGGTGCCCACGCTGGCGCCAGGAATGGCTAATATAGCGGGTCCGATTTACACGACGCCCACATTTGCGCCGAGTAGATTTGTATACAATGGACCACCGATACATTTCGCAGACGCCTGGAGCCAGTATTGATATCGGGTCCGATCACTACACCAATCTCGCCGACTCGCCTCGGACATCCCGGACAACAGAATCTTTGGATTAATGCGAATGCGACGGGCCACTTAATTTACCGGCTGAATCAACACAGGAATCAGGTCGGAGGGCAGAGCCAGCAAGTGCCTGTTTTGACGACGGCCACACAGGTCGTAACGTCGATACCTCCACCTCCTCCGACTGCCATACAAATAAACACTAATGGGAGATCGGAAGCGGAATTGCGCCACCAAGAAGCAACGGCTTGCCCTCACGTAGAGGCGTTGAGCCGGGCGTTGGCGATGACCTCACAAACGGATCCGACCCACACCCAGCACCGAATGACGTTGCTGAGCGAACTCGTTTTCTACGAGAACCGTCTGAATGAGGCTAGAAAACTGCTCTACGCTAGAGAACCGGAAGGCCTACGGATCTGCCAGCAAGCAGTGGCTCAACACGTAGCCGAAAGACTTGGAGAAGGCACTGGCTACAACCACACAGGTCGTAACGCCGTCGACCTCGGCAGACCAACAAACGTTTAACCGAGCACCGTCATTGGAGATCGGAAAACTGCGGCTCCAGAAGGATGAAGCCATGAAACAGGCAGTGAAACTCAAAATGAGTTACTCACAAATCCCCCACACAGCGGAGAATTACACCGCCGAGATGGGCAGGATAGGCCGACAAGAGCGACGTCAGATTGACTCAGCAGCCGACTTGGAAAGACGGATACGAGCACAGAAACGACTCCTGCGCCCGTCAGGAACGTCAGCACCGACCACACTGGCGGTGATTGACGAAGAAATCCGACTAGCCCGGTTGGATGGCTTAGCGAAAAACCGCGACAAAGCGCTCCATGAGATCAGCGAAGTGAAGAAAAGATTGGCCAGACTTGACCCAACCGACGAGCATTACTCCTCAACTGTCCAGTGCAACAACGAGCAAATAGCGTTGGACTAAGAAGTTGACGGAGAAGGATAACGAAATCCGAGCGCTACAACCGACGACGACTCAACCAGCGGTCGTTCAACGAGCCAACCTCAGCCTATGATGGCATTGAATATAGGCCAAGACTTGCCACCGATCATGGTTCCATCTCTACAGTTGAATCCGACACAGCAAGTCCCACAAGGACCACCGGTCGAACCGCTCCCAACAAGGCAAGAGCTGAGAGAGCTTTTGCGGATGACTAACATAGTCATCGGACGGATCAACGTAATACTAGAGGACACACAAAAAGGAACTCCGGAAGCTACCGGACTCGACAATGATCGGGTAACCATCGAGGCATACACACAGTGGCTTTGACCGTACCCGGAAACCGGTATGCCGACAGACCCAGCTTTGCTGACGGCAATTAGTAACCGGATGAAGAACGCCCGCAACAGAGCGGAGCGCATCCCCAGCTGACCCGGAAATTGGAAGCGGCCGAACAGAGGTCGGAAGGAGTGACGGTATTTACACCTGAACAAGTACAACCTATCCCTGTCAGGGGAGACCGACTTCTTGACAGCTGGAGGAGGACATTACAAACACGGGCGACCGTCGACGGAGCGGCGAGCAGAATTAGCGCCCTTAGCTGGAGCATTCGGATAGCCGGACAGTTCATGGCACCGGGACATCCAGCCACGGACGATCAGGCTGTACGGCTGAATCAGAATATTCGACGGATACAACAGATGACCCAGAGCGACCCACAAGGAGCCGAACAACAGGTTCCCACTTACCACGTTATGACAGCCCGAATCGGAGAGGACGGCCAGCCGACAGAAGCTTGGACAGCGATCCTCACCGCGACCAAACCATCCAGGACATCTACGATAGCGCCTGGGCCGGAAGCTTAGACTTCAAGTTTCATAAAATCAACTACCTCATAACCGACATAAACTTGGTTGAAGACTTGAGCAAGTCCGGCAAGCCCTCCACAAAGGAGGACGAAAGCCGACTTCGAGTGGCCATCGCCCGTATAAGGACGGCTGGTTGGTCAGAAAAATTCCCGACCTTTAACGCTGAAGGATCGACGGTTAGGCCAGGAGATATCAGGACTTCACCGATATCGTCACCACCGTAACCGACCACACAGGTCGCTACGGGGACACACTCACCGGATTCCCAGATGCCCAACTCGGAACGCATCCGAAGATTGGCCGAACTGAAAAGGGAACGCGAGGATGTAACTACCCGATCGAACGACACTAGGCAAAGGATGGCTACCCTTCCAACAGGAGGAGATAATCACCCTCAGGAGTTCCAAGCCTTGCTCGATGAGTACAAACAACTGTACAATCGGCATACCGACTTGGACAGACTCATCCAGTCGGAGGAGCAGAAGGTCCACCTTGTCACAGCCTTAACGCCGACGACGACCACACAGGCCGTAACGTTGACGACCTTGGCGAGTGACACGGTAATCGCCCAGGGTAGAATTGCCATACAAGAGGCAGAACAAACTTTAAGGCGGATACAGCAGCGTGCCGAGAAGGGACTCGAGCCGAATGCTCAGAAGACAATCTCCGAGCTCATCGCCCACATACAACTTGTGAGGAACGTGATACAACCAGGTACGGTTGAACCGAGAGTTCATTCCCAAATGGTACGGAACGGAATAAACCAGCTGCTGGACTTCAACCGAAGTCAACTCCGACCACCAGACTTTAACAGGACGTCTCCAGATACCTTACCGTCGACCTCTTCGGCGGCGGAAATGCATTTCGGCGCTGCGAAAAGAACGCCGACACCGGATGTCAACTACAATTACTGATGGATGGGACTAACTGGAAGACCTCCAGCGAAATTTCGTTAACAATACACCAACGGATCCTGAAACTGTAAAAGTGGCACGCCAGAAGATGAATGATCTGACGGCCTACCTAAAGAGGGCAGGCGACCCCATTCACAAAGATGAACCGACCGATGTCGACGAAAGACCGCTCAGGTCGGCAATTGAGCGAATCACAGAGATCCTCAATGCGGAACCCGAGTATACTCGGATTGCGACGCTGTCGCCACCTCGCCGAGCAACACCGACTACGACAGCGGTGATGACTCTAGTTGGCACGACACCGATAGAAAACTTACCTGGTAACTTGGACATAATCGTCCAAGCCGGACAGGACTTGGCCGACATCTTTTACCATCGACTTGGTGAAACTCTGACCGACCAGGAGGCAACTGACCTCGCCAGAGTTGATCGAGCTTTACGACTCGAGCTGGATTGGGCCGATACACTAGGCTCATGGGGAACTCCACCACCAGGTCCGAACCGAGACCGACTTGTTGAAGCACTGCAGTCGGTGATCGACTAAGTCAAACAATACTTGGCAAACCCGAACAAAGCGGGAGCGCCAAGACAGGCAGAACCTCCTCTAGCTCCATCACCTGAACTTGACGTCGAACTTCCATTCTTTGATAACGCAGTCGACCAAAAAGGAGTCGACCTTGGGGAAGTTGAGGACCAGTACCGAGAAGCGGTGGACGTCATGGAGAAGCTCGAAAAACAACTCCGGGAACTCGACCCGAACAACGCCATGGAAAACAAATGCGCGATGCCTTGGATCAGCGGTACAGTATCTGCTCCAGGCGGGTCGAAGACTTGTGGAAAATTTTAGAAGCTAAGCCACAAAGGGTTCAGCCGACCTCCACGCAGCCGCAGCCGACTGCTTCGCAACAGCAGAATGAGCCCACATTCGCAGAACAGCGCGAAGCTTTCAACCAGCAGTTGGCCCGTACACAGAAGATTGCTGACGACTTGCAACGCCAAGCCGATAACATGGACGGAACAGATCCAACCATCCGTAACATTCGGACGGCAATCGAAGATCAAATAAGAATTTCTCGGATGCACATTCAAGACGTGCAGGTCGACCTTGAGATATTACGGCGAAAGGAACTCGAGGAACACCGGAAAGAAGCGGAACAACGCGCATCCGGTTCGCAACAACCGACCACCTCGAGCCAGCCGACTTTGACGACCGCTCGGACTCAGCCAAAGCCGATCTCGATAACAGGTTTGGTTCAACCGAATCCAGTGAAAATGGTCGACCGGCCCATGTCTCCGGTCACACAGGCTCGGATCATGGAAGCCATACCGGATATGAACGAATTACCGAGTACGGTCGCACCACACATAGTCAGACTACTGGCTAAAGTAGCGAAACTCATCACAGAGATGAGAGCCCGTAGAAACTTCTGTGAAGACAACAGCCAAGAAGCAAACGACTTGGATCGAGACATCCTGGCGTGGGGAAACAACGCTCGGTCCATACGACGACTTTATCATCCGGACGCCCCACAAACGACTAGGAATCGACCAGCTTGGTAACAAACGCCATTGCCGAAGGTCGGCCGTCTTGGATCACAAAGATATAGTAGGCTCGGAAACCAATTTTCGACTCGGTTCAACCCCCACCTCCAGCTCCCCCAGCAAAACCCGACCTGGAATGGGTAAAAGCAGTTAACACCCCGTTTCTGCGAGCGGACGCCGTCATTTCCGAACTTCGGACGATGATAGATGAAACCGACCAACAGACTCCGCAGTACTGTCAGGTTTACATCAACCTCGGACACTTGGAAAATAACGCCAAGGAAGCCCGATTTATCCTCCGACCAATAACGGTGTGGTCGACAAAGAATCAGGAACGCCTACAAACCTTAACGGCCCTGATACAGTCCTTTGTAGACGACTTCTACAAACGGAAGGAAGCGGAACAACAGAGGATGCTGAAGAGACCGCCCTCCGCCAAGAAGCCTAAGGTACAACCTGTTAAACCAACACAGGTAGTCCCACCGGTGAGTCACCAAGACGAGCCGATGGACGAATTACCAGTACCGGCACTCGAAGGCGAAGATGAACCAATGGATTCATCGGAGGAAGTCGGAGCAACAGAAGCTAGCCGATCTAAACCCCTTGAGCGACCGAAAACTCTACCTGGACTCTCACAAAGAGAACACCAGAGCGAACGTGCTGAAGAGCACGGACCACGAAGGCGTCTCTTCCAGTCGAAGTCGCCACCACCGGTTAGAACCAAGGAACATTCTTTGCAACTTCTAAAGGCGATTCCTTCCTTCTTACCTCCCGCGGAAGAAAAACCGAGCCCGTCACGGAAAGTGATGGGAGCGAAGGCCTTATTTACTCCCGACGTCCACAAAAAGTTGGTCAGCCAAGCCAGAACAACGGACCTTCAACGGATACTGTACGAACCACAACTTCAAGGAGGTATCCGAGATCGAACCATGTCGGAAGAACAACAAACCCGAATGGCTCAAAAGATCCACGCTACAATCCAGGATAAGAATAAAGCCTTGAGACGGTTGATGGCTTTGAGGTGTGGAAAGCGGGAGTTACGACAAATCCCGCGGGATTCGAACATCATCCAAACAATCCAGCGCCTCCGTAACCCGAGGATTAACCCGCCTATACATTGGATATCCAACCTCGGCCTGGAGAAGAAGTTACCGAGAAGATTCCGTTAACAATATCGGATAGCAGCGAAGACGAAGAGAACGGAGGCGCCTTCGGATCTGACGATCCTCTTCAAAAGGAGGCAGCAGCACCATCAAAGGGAGCCACGCCAGGACGCGGTAAATCACCGGTAAAACAAATTTCGCCGAACCGATCAGCATCCCAGCCGACTATGCTGCCGAGTCAACCGACGAAAGAGAAACCACCTAGGTTCTCACCTCGGAATACCCCGACGAAACCAAAGAAAACCCAGGAGGATATGGACACAACATCTCTCTCGGAAGCGCGAGTCGGATTACCGGTTGAAACGTCACCACAAAAGGACGAACCGACCTCGGTACACTCCGGTCAACGTCTAACCATAGACGAGTCTCGAACGAACGAGTCGGTAAACGAGTCGGTGAACATACCGACCGAGGGGAGTATAACCGAACCTAAGCCGCCGCAGGACTCGTCGCGCGAATTTCATGACGATCCCGCCTTACAACATGTGAAGGAC